ATAATTAATAATATATCATTCTTTGCACGTACTCATATGATAATCCTTCATTTAGATCCCGCTCAACCGATCGCAGCGAACCATGATGATCGAACTGGGAAAGATTTCATTTCTACAGAATGTCTTTAGCATGTCGAGTCTGAGATCACCAGAGAAATTATACCGTAGCATGTGTATATATTTATATATATGTATATATATAAATATTTATGAGTGTGTATTTATGTATGTATATATGTCGCGTCTTGATTTCCGTACTGTTTTTCAGTTTGTAGTCGTCGTTTTAGGTCGCGCGTGGTCTCTCTCGACTTTTATAAGATAAATATTTACTTTTATTACGAAGAGGGCAAAGAGAACAAAGAAAGGAGGAAGCGTCTACAGAGTCAGCGCCTGCATCTGATGGCACGTGTCGCTCAGCTGATCACCAGCTGCCGGATGGCCAGCCGTCCGCGGCGTACCGGGTGGCGTTATCGGTAACCTTCCAGGACCGTCGCCGGCGCCTCCTAGAGCATCGTCGGCGAGTTTACCCGCCACCGCTGTGGCCGTAGTCTGCATTATACCGTTCATCTTATACTTGGATTGTCGCAGCATCGTCTGCGAGCCGGTGGTGCTTGAATATTTGTCGGACGGCTTCCGGTTGGTGGACGATAGCGCCTGGCCGACGGAGTACCGGCTGCGTTGATTGCCGGCGGACTGCTGTTGTTGCTGCTGCTGTTGTGTTTGAGACAGGGGCATGGAAGATGGCTGATAACGGTTCTGAGCCGGAGCATAAAACTGGACCTGAAGAGTGGGCGGGGAGAGAGTTGGAAGAGGCCGTGTCATGGGTGAGTACGGAGCTGGCGGTGGGCTCGCCGGTTTCTCCTGAGTGTTGGACGCGTCCGCGTTTATCCGCTCGGATGGAGACAGGCGAGATGACAGCGTCGTCGATGTGCTCGTGACGACGACGCTGTCGGTCTGAACCGTGTCGTTATTAGGCCGACCGTTGTCGTTTCCGTGTACGTCCAATCGGGCGGCGCTTCCTCGGTAATTGTTGTTATTGTTGTTACTCGAGAGGCAATTCTTACGACCCGAGCCATAACCACCGGTCATCGACGATTTGTTGATCTCGTAATACTGATCGTCACCACAGTGCCTCGCGCGTCCGTTCGTCGAATACGAGTAGTTGGACGTAGCGTGATTGACCTTGTGCGCAACCTGATTCGAAGCGTAGCCGCCGCCGGACCTGAGGATCGCCGACGAGCCCACGTTCGATCCAGCCGTTCTCCTATTGTACTGTACCGGCAATCGCGACGACACCGCTATTGTCGGATATTTGTGCGACCCGTCCGCTGCGTTTCCGCTACATTTATTATATGACTGTGTACCGCCATATGTGTTCTGCGATTTGCCGTGTGTATTGTGGTGTGCCAACGGATATCCATGATTCTGACCCCCCTGGCCGCGTAAATTGTTACCCTGACCGCTCGAGTACTTATTGCAATCTCTGGAATTGTGACCGTACGTCTTCGCGTTGCTGTTGTCGTAACCGGACTGATGCGGCAAGGGCGAGAACGGTGTCGGCAGAAGACTAGCGGTACCAGACGCGTTATGATGTGTGTATGGTGGTGGCGGGTGTGTGTGCGGAATGTATACGGTTGGGTGGTAGAGGATGCGACAGTGCATCGGACTGGTAGTGCAGTCCTCGCTGTCGTTTTGCGCGCTGTGCGGCGTGTGTATCGTGATCGGATGGTAATTAGTGTGGTAACGACCGGACATAGGGAATTTGACGGGCATTAGGGGCAGCAGAGGTGTTGCCGGTGAGCCTGAAGCAGCCTGTTGCACTTCGCTGTGCGGTTGCTCCGAGTGGCTTGGCGTCGGACGTGAATCCTACGATTTTATTTTATAGAATAATACCTGCCTAACTTCAATATTTTGCCTGATAAAACGTGCATTTAACAATAAACACATTTATGACGATTTGTTATAATTGATCTCGTAATCGAGTATAATCCTGATCTCAGTGTGATCAAATAAATCTTCATTGCGATGATAACCATCAATATTTCATTAATAGTGACTATTAACGCATGCATTACTGTTTTAGAAATAAGAATGACAACACAATGGCGAGCAGCTATATTCTTGTGGAATTTGGAAGCGGCACCAAAGACACATCGCGGAAACAGATTGCTAAACGTGCATTAGTCGAGAAGGTATCGATTGCAGTTGGATAAGAGAGAAACTTACCTCTTGTGGAGCCTGACTATCAGACGCAGAGGTTTGCTGACACGAAGTAGCGTCCGTAGCGTACAACAACAGCTGCTGCTCGGTCAGTCCAATAGGTGCGTGCGGTGGCGGCGCGGGATGCGGGCCAGCCGCAAAAGGATAGTATAGATGATCCACCTGCGCCGGGGGAGGAGGGCCCGTTGGTACAGGTGGATGATGATGTGGAGCAGGCGCGGCAGGAGCGTAAAAGTGCGTTGGATGCGGTGGTGGAAGAGGTGGCGGTGGGCCCGTCGGCGGGCTGGTAGCTCCTGTACCGTTATTGCTGTTGCTGCCAGAACTGTTGCCACCTCCACCACTATTCGTGTTGCTTGGCGAACTGCCAGTAGTAGCGTACAAATACTGAGGTGCTCCGGCGGCCGCTCCTGCGTAGTACGGTTCGTACTGTAGACAGAGATGGAAAAATCTTTAGATATTCCTCATTGTAAAAACTCTTTGCACATGAATACCGAGTATTTTACATAGAGTCACATCTATGACAACTGTTCTCGTAAATGTTGGTCAATCCTTTAATGAGTTTCATTTCTTTATTCTAATCCCATTTTTAACGTAGGTCAACAAGCAAAATAGAAATGTGCTTCAATAAACCCATCTATTATTTATCCAACAAAACAATACACACAGTGCATATATAAATCTTTGCAAATGCTATATATATAGCATTCAGATGTATATACTTATTTTTCGTATGAGCTATATTATCGTATGGATAAAAATAGTATCAAATGGAAAATAAATTCGTTACTCATATGCAAATGTCATAATCGTCAAGGATTTAATACGGTTATCATTTTTATACACGTTTTTCTATTTTTTGATTTAGAGAAATAAAAAGGTGTATTAATTAAATCTTAATTAACTAACATTCACAAGAATAATTTTATTGTAATGATAGTGACAAATCAATAACTGTACCATATAAAAATCAAGCGAGGGTGGTTAAAAGATATCTCAATTCGTATATTGCTTCCAAATAACGATGTGTCATTTCCTAGATCATTCCAAGTTAGAAAAGATTGTAATGTGCTTAAGAAATTAGTCAAATAATCAATTATTATACTGGTGAAGCGTTAATCGTCACATGACGTAACTATATGTGTAATTTATCAACATCCACGCAAAATAAACTATTTTACTTTATTTGCATTTCATGTACATAAAAAAGAAGAGATCGTTCTAAACCCATAATGCATACATGCCTATAATAATTTCATTGTCAATGATCTATACAAATTTTCATATATTTCTATTCTTCTAAGCGTAGAGTTCCACAGAGTTCGAGAAAAATTGCCTGTTAAAATAATATTATACAATAACATTTAAATAACACATGCAAAACGATCGCGTGTAATTCGGATTCGCGCCTGCGTTAAGTGCAACTCGTGTCATTCTAGAAAAGTGAAACGAGCAATACGAGAAATGAAACAAACAACCATGCTGAACAGATAATCGACAAGCACCTTGACATTTCTATCATAACATTTAATCACTATATCAACAAGAGTTGTAATAAAAATTAAAACAAGTTGGAAAAAAGAAAAGAGAAAGGGAATAAAACAAAAAGAGCGAAAGAGAGAGATAAGGAATTAGAGGCCATATAAATAGATCTAAGATATGTTTAAACGCTACTAAAACCGATAGTTTATAATCTATCTTTTCTTTTTATTGCTATGACTTTACTTCAAATGATTGCAAAGAAGATTAATACGTGTTTATCATTTTGACACGATTAAAAATACTGTTATCCTATCATCGATATCGTTATAACCGTTTCACTGGAAATTATTATTATGATTTACATTCATCATGTCAGCTTTATCTTCTTTATCTTCTATTTATTTTTATATACTGACTAATTTATCACATTTATTATATTTATAATTGCTTATAGTTAGTTATTATAGAGAGTTATTATATTTATATAGATATATTCTACTGTATCTACTTTATATAAATATTTATAAAGAGAATTATATTTATAACTATATCGAGCATACATCATTAAATTTTTATCTCTTGGTTATATATTCATACGTATTTGTAAGTGTGCTTAATTTTATACATTTAATACTGTGATTACGGGAACATGTGAGTGTCAAAGATTAATATGAACCGGTGAATACAGGTCATGAAACGAAAAAGACGATAAAGAGCATGCATCAACAGGCCATGCATCGAAAGGCTGGGAAAAGAGGGAGAAAGAAAAGTAAACTGCTCAAAAAGAGCAACATGCTAGTCGTTTAGCTTAGACCTTATACCTTTAGACCTCAATACTGTATAGCGTCGAGAAGGACGTAAGTAGGCATTTGCTGAGGGTTGGGTAGAAACGCCGGTGGTATGGCTTCTCCCATCAGACCGTTTGTCTGTCAAACCGTAACCGATATGTGCCGTTTAATAAAAATACAAATACAGACAAAGACGGTCAGGATATTATGCTAGGATCTATATGTACGTGTAAGGGAAACCCACGAGCATCTAAACGGAAAGTCGAAGACGTAGAAGTATGAAAAAAATCAATCAGGGCAGTAATCGATATTATTTTACGTACCGGCATAGGAGAATATTGATATTGTTGTGGCATATACAATGATGGGGCCGGACATGGATACATCACAGGAGCAAACGTTTGATGTCCAGTAGCGGCTTGAGGCCCTGAGCATGTAAGTGAAAATTAATAAATTATAATCCCTGTAAAATAAACGAATAATTATGAAATAAAATGAATAAATGATTAGCGTGTCCACACATCTTAATCTAATGCAAGACTCTGTAAGACTGTATTTGTATTTAGTAGGGACTCATAACAAAATTCGATCTCCTGAATATTTTGCTTAAGTATATCGATAAACAAAAATTCGTAGAATTCTTTAGGTTTTATTGCAACCATTTCTAGACCGTAAGATCATATATGTGTAGTGAGTAATGCTTACCAAACACTCCTGTAGCTTGATAAATCGTTCCTGGATCCGTAGGTGGAGCGATGGAAGTCGCTGGTGCGGCAGCTGCCGTGTTATAGAATGTCATACCATTCTGATAAGCGAGACCCATACCTATACAGGCAAAGAAGCAGAGAAATTAGAAACGCGATCTCTGCACTCTTCAATCGTTCGTAATATTGTGGTTTGAAAAATATATGCAAAGTATCTCGAAGTTCCCTGTGAATTGCAATAAATCAGGATCAGTTTCAAATAAAATTTTTTAATCCGCTTATGTAAACATTCCTAAATAAACAAAATACGTCAAATTAAGAAATTTTATAGAATTTTCTTAAAAATCTATCCTTAATATTAACTTTTGTTCATTTAATACAATACATTATTATAAAAATATTCTTGCATATTTATTACTAATTACGTGTAAAAAAAAAATAAAATTTAAAATAAAAGAATATCTAGTAACAAACACAAGTAGTCAAAACTATAAATATACAAATCACAAATTCAAAATAACTGGCACAACAAGATACTGTGTCCATTGAAAAAATGAACGTCAAGTGTATTGTAATATAAACTAAAAGATTTAAACCGTAGTAAATGTAACTCAAGTTGTCGGAAATCCATAATCAAGAAAAAGAAGAATTATATACCGTTCGCGTAGTAGTAAGTACTTGTAGGCACGGAAGGAGGCGAACCGGTACTACCGTCAAAAGATCTGGAGAAGGGCTGCTTCTTGATTGCGGGCGCTATGTTGAGTTTCCTCTCTCTCAAGACAATGCATTCAGCCTGAAACAAACGAAAGCGGTGAATAAAGGAATGGACCATTTATCATGGATTGTTTATCAAAGAGACATGATCATCAATTACAAACCTCTTGTTGAAGCCGCTTAGCCTCCTCTTCAGTTTCGAAGGTGACGAAACCATAACCCTTTGACACGCCAGCGCGGTCCGATATAATTTTCGTGGCCTTGACATTGCCATAGGCCGAGAAAACCTGAGCTAGCTCCGCTTCGCTGGTACTGGCCGAAATGCCACCTACGAAAATACGGTTCGGTACCAGCGTACCGTATTTTGGCGCAGCCATCGTAAGACTCGCGGCCGAGGCAGGGCTAGAGGCAGGACTAGACCCCTCCGTACCACCGGTCGAAGCCGAGCTCTATACAACAATCAAATGAGTTCTTCCTTTAATTTGCTATCGCACGGAAATCACGTGAGGTGACAATGCTCCATCCCGAGATTCCTCGAGACAGAATTTACTGGCAATAACAAAGCTTTTGTGATCATCGTTTGACGCAATTTGTCCCATGCAATATGTTCGTTTTCAACAAATGGAAAATCTGCGAAAGTAGAAAATACAAAAAAAAGACAATTAATTACGAGACATGGAAAAAGACTTTGGATCTAGTCGATTCTTTCACGGTGACTTCTTATCACTCGCGTGTGTCAAACAGAGTTAAACAAATAGTTAGCAGTGTAGATATCTAATCGAAGTTAATTACACTTCTTATCATTAAATTTAATACTTTATTAAGTAACAATTAATTAATCCTATCTTGATGAATTTATTATTTACTTATTTATGTTAACTGTTACTCAGATATAAGTTTGTCTTAACGATTTTCAACGTCATCATCGAAAATATCCCTTGATAATAGTTTGCCTCTCCTGAAACGCGAATCAATGACAATGTTGTTTATGAATGTATTCATGCACAGGAAAAACTGTCGCAAGTGCAGGGTACAAATATGAACGAGCAATACCATTCTCTCTCTCTCTCTCTCTCTTTCAGCGCTGATCTTGCTTCTCTAAACTCGTGATATTACGATCCCTCATTATAATCCCATTATACGTCAAGCAATATTGTCGTAGAAATACATTTGAAAGCGGCCGTCCGATGATTTGTATACATACATAAACGCCGATCATTAATTTAGGAGCACCGAGTGAGAGGGGCGTGATTACGAACCAAGAATGTGTATAGTACGGGGAAAAGCAGCCGAAAGTTTACGGTGTTTCTGTACTTCTCGATGTGTTTCACCTGTAATTTCTTCAAACGGAAGAGCCGATAATACGAAACGACAACTCCAAGAGAGATACTCCTTTCCTTTCTGTGTAGAGTTAAAATGTGCGACTTTATCGCATTATGTAGATTAACATATACATACAATTATCATAAGACGGCTAAAGAACTATCGGAGTTTGTTTAGCCATTTAACTGATGAGTCACTGCAGTACCTCTGCATATAGAGCAGAAGTGTTCGGTGAAATTACTTGGTTACAGCGGTATCAAGTATTCTTTATGCCGAAAGAATTACAATTTAGTTCGAGATGAAATTCGTTTACTTGCTGCGTAAAATTTTAACCTACAATGTCATGTCCCTAAAATGACCTCTAAACAGGGCACAATAATTGATATTGTACAATATTATTGATTATCTGGAGGCTACATTGAGTCTATAGACTGTTTTGAATTGTTTATAAAGCAGATATCAATACCATCTAAAATTTCAAGAGTAAATTTCATTCTAAAGAATGAAATCTTACTCTTAAAGATTGGAAATTGAATCATTCTTTTTCAAGACACTTAATTTTCATTCTTTAGAATGAGATTTTACTTCAAAAAATTTAGAGAATAATATTAGATAAATAATTGTATAATAAGAGCTTTATGATTCTTCATTGAGTTTTTCTGTAAACCTACTATGTCAAAAGATATCACAAAATTGTAGTAAATGTCGTCGCATTTTCAACATCGGCAATATGTACTCTTGATATTCTTTGGAACCTTCAAATCTCACTCTAAGATCCATTTTCACAATATATGGTTACCTAAAAATTAATGGTTATCAACAGATTCATCATGAAATTCATTCATGAATTTCTTAGTTATCTTTAATCTTTAGGTAACTATATATCGTGAAATCGGATCTTAAAGTTTCTAAAAGTTTTAGAAAATATTTTAAACGTGTGTCATTTCCGCCGATTCTTGCGATTAATATTCTTCCTTGTTTCTGTAAATTTTGGCCATTACTCAAACATTTGCAGATATTTGTAGGCAACATTTATTGCAGGTATCAGGAATGTACATGGGACGATGACACAAAAGCCATGTAAAACATTTCAAAGAATTTCATTCAATTTATTGGCTTCGATTCAATTTTTTTTTTAAATATGTTTAATCGAAGAGAAAATGCGAAAATATCAAATGAGCCAATAAAATTGTCAATTTTCAACGCCGAACAGTAGAATGCTGTAACGACTAGGAAAACTGGAAGAAAAGGAAGAATAGTCAAAGCATCCCGTTGTGTAAAAAGGAAATTGCTCGTCATACAAGGATCGTCACACGGTGAATTGGAAACGCATGAAAGACTCTGTGTTAAAATTACCATTTTAAGTATATACATGGAAAAGTACTCTCAAAATGCTTTGGAGCAGAATCTCACTCCAAAGAGTGAAAATTGAGTCTTGAAAAAGTAGCTCCAATTTTAATCTTTAAGAATGAGATTTCACTCTTCACAGTAAGGGGTTCACTCTAAAAGTTTTTTAGAGTATCTGTTCTGATAAAGTGATAGGAGTCAGCAGGAATCGTATTCTGTTTTTATCGCGGCGCATTCTATCCAATAATCACTTGCTTCTTTACATCTCTCCACCCTGTGCAGCGTTACCCGATAATTTCAATTAAATGCGCAGAATTTTAACTCGGAAATGCTGATCTCAAAAGCGACCTTTCCCCAGAAAGTACTAATCTCAAAGGCACCATTTTCCCGTATTCAGCAAATCTTCCGAATAGAGATGAGAAAAATGGTACAAAACTGCGTTTTCGCATCGTCGAAATATTCTTGTCTCCTTCTCGTTCTTGACAAATCTCGGAAGCTCACGGGGGTCACTCCGGATTTCCGTCCGACGTGGGGATCAGCCATGGGAGCGAGGGGCATCGCAACGTGTCAATCTTGCTTCTTCTTCTTCTTCTTCTTCTTCGTTCAAAGGTCTCCGAGATCCTCACATGTGGGCTCGATAGGGTGGTGGTACAATTTCAAACATGGTATTCAATTCTGAACGAAATAAAATTTAAATTCAATTTTTTAATTTCAAGTTTGTTTTTTCCTCTTTGATATCTTTCGGTATCCTCTACACAATGAAAGGATTATCAAACTTAGATCTCGAAAATTCAAATTTTACTTTGTTCAGAATTATAACATATTCGAAATTGCATTACTTTATCCCATGTTTATCACAAATTCCTCGGCCTTAAATTTCATAACTTTTCCCCTTCCAAACAAAATTTCATGATTTTCCCTGATACTTTCAATAATACTTAAAAATTTTCTATATTTTTATCTTAATTTAGAAACTGTCAAATATTTTGTTAAAAGAGCAATTTAACATGTAAGCAATGTAAATTAATATTGCTGTTTGCGTTTAATTCTTAAGTCCATAATATTTCAAAACTGCCAAGGGAGAGTGTAATGCGGGTGTTCAACTTTTTTAAAGCAAAGAATTTTAATTTTCCAGAAAATTTTGCAAAAATTTTCTCCGACTTCCCTGAGCGTTTCCACTTTCCCCGACATATATATTTCCCTTATTTCTAGTCTTCTAGTACATTTCTAGTCTCCTGCTACGACGATGTTGATCTTGCGAGTGACAGATCTCGCGGAGATTTGGCGTGACGTGCGCAGCTGCGTGATCGGCATCCGGTCGGCGCGACGCCGGGACGAGGAGAGCGAAACTACGCGGAGTATCGACTAGCGGCCGAAGGCGGCTGCTGCGGCGGTGGCGACACGTCGACGTTCCAGTTAACGTGAATTTCACGAGAAAACATGCGACGGGTTCGCAACGCACGTGAGAACTCGAAAAGCTGAGGAGAGGAAAAGTGCCGAGTGGACCTGACACCACCGCACCCCTCTTTCATCTTTCTCACTTTTTTCTTCATTTTTCTCTTTCCTTTCTCTCGCTCTATCTCTCTCCCTCTCTCTCTCTCGCGACTACTCGCGACGATGGCGAGCGATGACAGCCAAAATGCAAACAAACAAGCAAGCAACCGACCAAACAAGCGAGCAGCACGTACGTCGTGCGTCGTCTCGAATCCGCGTGGAGCGAGCGGGAAGAACGAGAGGAACGCAGAGCGAGTGAGAGAGAACAAGTAGCAATGATCTCACCTGAGATCGTACTCCAATCTTTCACGCCGCGAGAATGAATCCCCAACGTGTTTACATTCGCGACAATGGGATCGGTGACACAATTCGTGCTCGGGCGATTTAGTCTCGAAATTCTTTGGAGTGGAATCTCGCTCTAGAGAGTAAAAATTGAATTTCGAAAGAATTTTTTCTCTTCAGGACGCCTATCGTCGGACAAGTTCTCGGAACAGATTCTCATCGGAATTACTCCTTTTTTTCCTAGAAAACACAATAGAAATCCAGAGAACAATTGAATAATTCTGATCGCAATTCATTCCCGAATAATTTCACAATACGTGACTAGAGTGAGACTAAAATCGACGGCTTTGAAATTCTGAGTCTCGTCGTGAAGCTCGCGACGAGTCGAGGACCCAATCGGCGCTCTCTCTCTCCTCGTCTTCCTCTTTCATCCCTCTCGACAACCCCGGAAGTCGCGGCATACCGGGAAGAAACACGCACGACGTGCTCGCTCCATAATTATATTAGAGCGGACCAACAGTCAAGACTGTTTTTCCGAGAATATTCCGGGAATACTCCGAGAACGAAAGCAATAGTGACGAGGAGGATAAATGAGGGACAGGGAGAGAATACTTGGCGCGAACGACGTTTTTGAATGTGCGAGGTGCTCCGACAGGTCGCTCCTCGTCGACGTCATCGTCGTCGAAAATCCTCGGATCCGCAGTAATTCGTAAAGATCAAAGGCAAATTTCGCGTGTCGGAGGACACACCGGTGTTTAATTCTTCGAGCGATTGACGAGATCTCACCATCGTCGACAACGTCGACGAAGACGACGATGCTGCGCGACGTCGAGTCGAAGGGACGCGAGCGAGAACGAGAGAGAGAGAGAGAGAGAGAGAGAGCGCGCGCGCGCGCGTTCTCTCTCTCTTTCTCCTGATAAATATCTAGGCGCTCGCTCGCTCTTTCTCCGTCCAGGGTGTTAACGGCGGGCACTCACCATCTTTCGACGGATTCGGACGCGCTGGAGGATCCGCTGGCGGCTGTCCCGGCGGCTCGATGGTACCCTGGCCTCGCGCGACAGTCACCTGGACGCCCAGGGACTGCCAAGGACCGTAGCACCGACCACTTCAGCAGCACTTCCAGCCTCCGGCGGAGAAGCTGCCTTCCCGTCTCGCAGTAAACCTCCAAACACTACGGGGCAGGCAGCTCTTACAAGATGGCGATCGGTGGCGCAGCGCCGCGTACTCTGAATTCGCGGAACCTCGCAGAGACTTGCGCCCGCACTTTATTATCGACAGTGGGTAAAGCCAATCGCGTCGTCACGTTTCCGTCGCACACGAAGCTCAACTAGGCCGCGTCGACGTCTTTGCGCACTCGGAATCTGGAAACACTGGACATTTCGATATTTGGATACGACATACATTGCACGTCCGAAAAGGATTTCAACTAAATTGAGTCCCAATGTAGATTAAATTTAATCTTGGTCCAACTTGCTCTTCATCTTTTTTTTAGTTCTCAAAATTAGAGGATAAAGAATAAGTTAAAATGAAATTAATCTAGTTTGTGGAAACGAATATTAATCGGAGATTAATTAGACTTTAAGTTCTGCACACATATAAATGTCTCATCATCTTTTATTTGTACATTATTATTCAATGTATGCTTAATCTCTATTCTATTTCTTAATTTTTTTATTTCTAATATTCAACATTTATTCCTGTTCCTAATATCGTTTATGTTCAATGCACAAGATATTACTTTTATTCATTTCTACTGAATGTAAATTAGTATTAATTCCAGTTTAATTTATTTTTTTATCTTTTCCTATAGTTCTAATTGTAAGAATTAAAAAATATAAGGAGTCATGTAAACCACGATTAAAGTTAAGTTATATTGGTAGAAACAGATTTTTGAAAATTCTAGAAAATTTTATCTACAATTCATTGTTCCTGATTTAATTTTTTTTCCATATTAAACAATAAAAAATAGTATTTTTATCCATGTTCATAAATTAAATTAAAAAATTAATTGATAAATTAATTACTAATTAAATCAATCAGAATTTAGTTAAAGTGGAGAGCAGTCAAAGATAATTTCAATTAACTTAATTCTACGTAACTTTTGATCCTTCTAATCCTTTTTGTCATATGTCAAACAACAAAACATTATTAAATTCTATTCGAGTTAATACACACACAATGCAAATTTTTTTATTTACTAAAACAACACTACAAAATTTAGAGAAGCGCTTTATTTTAAAATAAAATAAATAAATAAGATGCAGTTAATTATTGACTTATCCTCGTTTTTTTTTTGAAAATCATATGTTCATATTTTGTTTACAACGTATTTTAGAGTTGAACTTTACATGCAATTCCATTAAAAGTTTTCTGTAATGATAACAAGAATAACGGAGCACAAAGGAGGAGCCAATTGAATGAATGACAAAAATGTACAAGTATCATATTATTTTTAGGCTCCAGATATTATTCACATTTAAATCCAAATAAGTAAATCTCTTCATTTGAATAGTTCGGGATATCTATGAGATATGAAATTGAGCGAATCGATCACGTCAAACGCGAAACCGTTTCAACGGAGTTGCTCCGGAGTCGTGTTCGCGATCAACGGAGATCTATCCAGGACTTACCGATAATCCGCGACCCGGCGATCCCGCGGCGACATTCGCTGGCGACGTCGTGCGGCTGATGAAAATTTGTAGTGTTTGAGTAAAACGGAACACGAAAAATACGAAAAACGATGAACGAGAAAAACCGGGGACAAAAACGGAACTGGAACTGAAACAGAACTGAACGCGAGCGCATCGCTCGCCGGGGGTTGGCGAGGGGATAGAAGGGGAGGGGGAAAGATACCGCGACTTCCGGTCGACGCGACCACGTCGTGTCGTCGATGAGATGCGATGTGGAATTGGTAGAATAATTCAACGGAGAGATTATCTTTCACGGTGGACCGATTGAACGCGTCGATCGTCGCTGGGACGCCGATTAAATGGCCGTGCGATGTGCGACACCATTTTGACTAGCGTTGCAAAAATGAGTTGACTGGCGCGAGATTGCCATTCAAGTGTTTCCAAGGAACGGAAACAAAAAGGAAGAGCGGAGGCGAATAACAAACCGAACGTAGCCCGAGAAAGAACGAATCGATCGGAAACAATGGATACTGTTAGAAATTTGGTCGCAATTTTATCGTTACCGATTTTAAGTCAGGTGTTTCACTGAATACTCTACTCCTTTTTATTTAGAATTATTTCAAGAGTCGCGAGTGACATCTTTCGTTGACTCTATGAGGTTTGAGACGATTAATGTCACATTGGTAATTTAAAGATAAAAAATCTTTTTCTTCTATAGTACCTGTAAAAAATTGAATTTAAAGATATTTTGAAATTTTATTAAAAATCAAATTTTTAATATTCTGCTTTTTTAATTTTTAATTTTATTAGTTCGTTTTTTAATTTTTAAAACATTGTCCTTTCAATTTTTACGAATTTTAAGTATAAAATATCCGCTATATTTCCTGTATTTTGTATGTTTAGAAAACGTTTAAATATTTCCATCGTTTCAATGTTGAGTAAGTACATTTTAAATATGTCAAAATTAATTTTGTTAATTACTAATTAACAAAATTAACATAAAAAAACGAAATTCATCTGAATATATCGATTATTAGTATCAGCGTAATATACACTGTTAAAGTAATTAAATAGTAATTTACATTAAAAATGTTATGAAATTTAATATACTTACTTAAATTACTATAATATAGTACTTAAATTACTATTTAATTACTTTTAAGTTACATAAATTTAATTTAATTTTATGATACTAAATTAAATTTTATGTATCTGTAACTGAAAAATATATTTGTGTACATGTACATGAAATTTAGTACGTTTCATAAAATTTTACGAATTTTAGTACATTTTTTATTAAATTTTATGTAATTTGCATAAAATTTAATGAAATAAACGTTAAATTTAAGTTATTTGTAACTTCATTTTCATTGACAACATTAAATATTTTTAATGCGCCTGCTTGAAATTTTCTTCCATTACGTAACGAAAGCAAATTTCTGTTTTTATAAACAGTGTATAAAGCAAAAAATAATTAATTACCTACATTTTACATGATATTTCTAGTAAATATATCAATATGTCATTATCGCAAGATTACCAGAGAGATCACATGAAAAATATTTACAAACAAAATATACAGATATTATACTATTTCTAGGTTTTAGATATCATTCACATTTAAATCAAAACACGTTGCAGTCGATGGCACGAAGACATACGGTCTTGTTTCTTCATTTGAATAATCCGGGATTCCCTGTGAGATATCAAAATTCTGAAAATTTGAAATGAAAAAAGGGCTATGAAAATATTTTATAATACAATTATATATATTTTATAAATCGCATTGTTAATCGCACAATTTAACATTTAACAATAAAATAGTACAGACCAACAGAAGCTTTCTGAAGGCTGCACTAACCCATCAGATCGAACATGAAGATTAATAATTACTTTTTATATTAACTACAGATATTCATAAAAAAATATATAATTTAACGTCATATGTGTCCTCTTATAAATTACATGCAGAAAGTTATCTAACGTAAAAAAAATGTACGCAAACTGCTACACGACTTACATATCTTTTATGCATAGCCAAGCAAAAGGTGCAAACTTGTGGTCTTGTTGAACAAACGCTGTTACTTTCTAAAAGACGCGTACAAGGTTGATCCATGGCACCCGCAATGAGTATGGCGTCCAAATGGCTAATGTAACTGCTGGCCAATCTTAAGGTCTCTATTTTCGACAGCTTGCGATCAGCCGGCTCGGTTGGGATCAAAGTTCTCAGGGCGCTGAAAGCCGTGTTCACGCTGCACAACGAAGATCGCGTACCTTCAGAGAAGATCTCATCCAGTGTCTCTCGCATCCTAAATCGCTCTATTAATATCAAGTCTATCTCGTTCATTATAAACACGTTAAGTAATTAAAAGAAGCGTCCAAAGATAAATGGTTCGTCGAGAGAAACTTCGCACGTGAACAAGTACCGCGCGCTTATCCTCCGAATCCTTTAACAACTTCCTCGCGCAACAAGAAATAAATGTTTAGATAATTCACTCGTTTTTTTTTTATATCGTTCTCGTTATTATATGCGCAAAATGCTTTTTCACCTAAGAGTGCGATCTCTCTCTCGAGCGTTCGCTTGGTATCGCTGCTTCGTCGACTCTTCCCTCTTGCGTGCTGCCATGCCGTGGACGCGACTACAGAAACGCTTTCGCTGACCGTTCACAACGACGCTATCTTCATCAATGAGGCGACCGGTACAGCCTCTTTCCGTTCCTCCGGAATATGAAAATTTCCTCATCTCTCTGGTGTCACGGATACTTAACATCTCCCCCCGCCCTTCCGTTTCTTTCCCCTTACTCCTTCTTTCTCTCAGATATCCGACACGCACGTGAGCAGCACATGTGTGCGATCAGGGACGGATAAAGATCCTCTCTCGCACTCGTTTTTATCCTTTTCTATTTCTCTTCCTTTCCCGGTTTCTACTGTAAGGTGCTAAAATTACGGCGAAGAAAATAAAAAAAAAACTGAATAATAAATTATACATTATAAAACAAAATAATAAATTATATAAATTACATTTACAAAAATATATATATGTATATCTCTGAAGATAATTGTTCGCATTGAAATCAAGAACGTCAAAATGTAAATGTCGAAGTTATAATAGGATCTTTGTTACACGCACTTGATCGCCTCTCATGCATTGGAATTAAATTTACAATGAAATACATACATAACAGAATGAATCCATACAACACGCACTCAAAACTTCGTCCCTGTCTCCCACACTATTATAAGTTGAGTGATGCATTCCGAGTGTAAAGTGGACGATGGCTGCGTTTCGCATTAAGCTCAATAAAAACGTGGATGATTGTAGTAACTGGATGATAGAGAAGGATAAATTCCATCTGGAAAACTAATTAGCGTTCTATTACAACGTGCTTCCATTTGTCTGCAATTTCCCGATTTCTCTTATTTTATACAATTACGCTGATGAAACAGATGCTTAATTTATATCTTGTCGTTTGTTGATTCAACTTCAGAGCTGGGCGACGATATAATGCATAATTATTTAAGGCGCGAGAATAATTGAAGAAGAAGAAGCTTCGTATGAAATGTTTACTCAATTAAATAACTTGGTTACATCGAATCAGTTACACAGCATAAAATTTACATGTTTCTCAAATGGTCATCGACTCATAAGATTATACTTCAACGTTCGATATTGTCGAAGAAACACCACGCAGGATCAGCTAATATAAGACAGAATTAATTAAGTTTTGGATTTAATCATTATCGTTAACCGCACGCTATGTTACCGAAGGCCCGCGGTATAAAAGAATATCTTAAAGAATATATATATATATAGAAATGATATATATATA